CATTGACTTCTTTTTTTTTGTGAAAAAACAAAAAAGACCAAGTTGAATTATAAATGATTATCAATCAACTATAATTAATTGTGAACTATTTTATTCAATGACTGTTTTTTACAAAAAAAAAAAAAAAAAAGAAAAAAAAAGAAAACTAAGTTGAATTATGAATGGTTCTCAATCAATCATATTTAATTGTGAACTATTTCATTCAATGAATTTTTTTTGTGGAAAAATTCCGTTACATCATTTTATAATGAATTTTGACTGAAAAATTCATGCTTCCTAATATATTTAACAAAAACTTAATTTATATATTTTCTCGTCTAATATTGAAATGCGTAATATGATTAAAAAGTATAAAGTTTGTGTTTTTTTATTCAATAAGCTTATATAAAAGCACCTCTCAACTTTTATTCCTAACAAATGTAAAATTCCACAGCATATGATCTAATAGTTTGTGTTTGTTTTGATGCTATTCAATGAAAAAGGTTATTCCTCTTTTGCAATCTTTCATCTTTATCCTAAGCTAAAGTTACTGAGTGTTATGAAAAACACAAGCTAAAGTTAAGGTTATTCCTTTCAACTTTTTTGCTTGAAGAAAAAACAAAAAAAAACCAAGTTAAATTATGAATGATTCTCAATTAATTATAGTTAATTATGAACTATTTCATTTAATGACTTTTTTAATGAAAAAATAAAGAAGACCAAGTTGAATTATGAATGAGTCTCAATCAACCACAATTAGTTGTGAACTATTTCATTCAATAATTTTTTTATTATGAAAAAATTTGGTCACGTCATTAACGGAATTTTGATCGAAAAAATTCATGCTTTCTAATATATTTAACAAAAACTTAATTTGTATATTTTTTTGTCTAATATTGAAATAACGTAATATGATTAAAAAATATAAAGCTTGTGTTTTTTTTTTCAATAAGCCTATATAAAAGCACCTCTCAACTTTTATTCCTAACAAATGTAAAATTCCACAGCATTGATCTAATAGTTTGTGTTTGTTTTGATGCTATTCAATGAAAAAGATTATTCCTCTTTCTCAATTTTTCATCTTTATCCTAAGCTAAAGTTACTTAGTGCTATGAAACACGCAAGCTAAAGGTTATTCCTCTCAACTTTTTTGCTTGACCAAAAAAAAAAAAAAAAATCAAGTTGAACTATGAATGGTTCTCAATCAACCATAATTAATTATGAACTATTTCATTTAATGACTTTTTTAACGAAAAAACAAAGAAGACCTATATAAACTTGATTTGTATATTTTATGTTTAATATTAAAACAACATGCTAATATGATTAAAAAGTGATTTTTTTTTTTTCAATAAGCCTATATAAAAAGCACCTCTCAACTTTTATACTTAACAAATGTAAAATTCCACAGCACATGTATGTTGGGCAGCACATGATCTAATAGTTTATGTTTGTTTTGATGCTATTCAGTGAAAAAGGTTATTCCTCTTTCCCAATCTTTCATCTTGATCCTAAGCTAAAGTTACTTAGTGCTAAGTCGAATAATTTTACTTCATAAATTAGCTAGAGTTTAGTTTTTTTTTTTTTTTTTTTGGTATGATTTAGCATGTGGGACCATCAAATTGATTGTTCATCCCACAACATACATAAAATTTTTATTTTTCCTTTCTGGATTTCTTTTCATACAATCCAAATCCGAAAAAGGAAAGAAGAAAGAAAAAAACATCAATAAAATAAGATATACCCTAGTTTTCCACAATAATGGTGACGTATGAACCTTCATGTCGCTTGTTATATTCACGAGAGAATGAAATTATTTTAATTTTTTGGGTTGACTTTCCATATATGATAGCAATTCAAGCTTTTCTTTTTTCTTTTTCTTTTGACACCTACACTGTGTTTGGTTTACGAAAGCAAAGGAAATCCATAAACATACGTATCTTGTTGTCATCTTCTTTTCATTTTTTTTTTTTTTCAAATCAGTGGTTGTGGTAGATCCACAACTTTTTTGCTTACACAAACTTCCTGCTATAAATTTTTCCAAATGGCTTTTTTAAAAATTTTTATTGTTGGGTTACAAAAGGACGAATATATAATTATTTGTATGAATTTTTTTTTCTATTTTTCTGATTTTTTTAATGTAATATTTTTATTTTTAGTTTTAAATTTTACTTAATGTAGCTTTTTGGATTGTTTTTCGGGTAATTTTTTTTTATCAAAAACTAATAATGACATAAAATTTTATATGACCCGACGTGTGAGATAAATTTACCAAATAATTTTTATTTTTTTTTGAAAAACTAAAATTTAAATTTCCATTGACCCACTTCCTAATGGATCAATGAAAGCTCGTATGCATTTTTTAATGTGATATTTTTATTTTTATTTTTAAATTTTACTTAATGTAGTTTTTTTATTATTTTTTTGATCAAAAAAAATTTTTTTTTATCAAAAACTAATAATGACATAAAAAAATTATCCGACACAACGTGTAAGATAAATTTACTGAATAAAAAAACAAAAATATTAGACAAGGAAACTTTAAATTTCCATTCACCCACTTCCTTATGGATCAATGAAAACTACATGTATTTTTTTAATGTGATATTTTTACTTTTATTATTTTTCGGTCAATTTTTATCAAAAATTAATAATGACATAAATATTTTGTATGACATGATGCGTAAAATAAATTTATCAAATAAAAAATATATATATATAAGAAAACGAAACTTTAAATTTCCATTCACCCGCTTTCGGATGGACCAATGAAAGCTACATGCATTATCTCTACATGGATTCCTGTAAATTGTCACGCATATCGGCAACTAAGCTTTCATCATTAGATATTTTTTCACAAAAATAACTAAATTTGTAAATACGAAATATTAAAAAAATAATATAAATTATATCTATTTATTTATAGATTTTATTTAATAGTTTAACTTTTTATGTTATAATGATATTTTAATATGAAATTAAAATTTTAATGATCAAATGATCATAATTTTAAATTAAAAAAATTTTCACTTATAAATATATTAAAAAATAATATAAATTATATTTTAAAATCTCGTATAATAATTGTGAACCGAGATTCGTCACGTTGGTAAAATGATGAAGTAAACACCCACTTACGCCAGATAAAAAGACCACAGAACTTTCATCATCAACTCCACTTCACTAAAGTGCTCAACTAGCTAGCTATTGCAGAGAGAGAAAACAACCTAACGTCGTATGGCACAATCCAGACAAAAGTAACTTTCACCATCCTCGTTTTTGAAAGTGTAGTAATAGTTTGTTAAAGATTAAGACAAGAGGGGAAAATGAGAGAGAGCACTCACTAATTTCCAACTTTAGCACGATTTCTTGAAGCTTTAGAGAGCCAGGGACAAGAAGATTTATCATCTTAATTTAGATTTATACCGAATTGCTGAATTCCCTAAAATCCACTTTTCCACCATCTCAGATCTATATGTTCTTATGTCTTTATGCCATAAGAATCTACGGCTTCTGCATCATTTATCAGGACAAAAGCAGCAGCAAAATAGGAAGAAGCAAAAGCCTATAGTTAATGTTTCTGTAGCGCCATCTTCTGTATTCTTCGTAGAGCTCCTGGATTCAACTCCAGAAGCTAGTTATTACTGATGATTTCGGCAATGTCCCTGAACTACCACAACTAATCTTCCTTTGCAAGTATTTGTAGATATAATTGTACTTCCTTCAGATTGAAATGAGCAGTAGATAAGAGAGGAAAGAAAGGTTTGCAAGGTGAAAGTGGAAATGAATCTCATAGCCAAATAAGATAGAAAGAAAATTCAATTAATGGGTTAGCTGCAATATGGAGTGTGGATATATATAGGGAAGTTTTATTGAATTGTAAAGTAGAATTCGCGGAAATTGATATTTGAATACAAGTAGAAAACTGATTAGGATTAGTGACTTCCGTTTGTCTTCCTTCATATTTCTTCCTCCTCTGCCCTACTGTATGGTGTGAGAGTATACGTCCTACTTTATACCTTACCCTCGAACCCTTCTCTTTGCTGTCAGCTTCAAATTGATTCTGCAGTATGAAATATTAAATTATAACAAGTATTTATGTATGGAAAAATTATAAAATTTAAGATTAGAATCTTTATCCTAATCTCAGAAAGAATCCCAATTTATTTTACTAAATATAAGTTTTCTAATTATTTTATTAAATATATATTCATGTTATCAAGTTTTTCTATTATGATTTTTCTGAAATTTGATATTTAAATAATGGCTTAAAACATGATTTAAAAAAATCAATGAAAAATCTCTTTTTGTTTTTTACAAGAAATTTTGAAAATATACAAGGAAAAAAAATGATTGAGAACATATTAGATTTTATTAGGATAAATTTCTTATTCACAAATGAGTTAAAAGCGGAATTTAAATACTTATCTGCGCTGATGTTTCCTTGCAGGCCTTTTTCAAATAGCATTTTTTTGTGGGCTTATCATAGCTATCTTCTGTACTAAACAGAATTTACCAAAGCCCAGGTCCAACACCTCATCATCTGACAACCCAGAAGTTTTATTTTTTTCAAACCTTAACAAGACTCATTAAAGTAAGAATGATTTTTTTTTATTATTATTATATTAGGAGTCATGAGGATTAAGAAGATGAAAAATTAATTAGCGTCCACTGATCCAATGATTTACATGCATGCAAGAATTCCTGCTTGTCAGGATGGATGGATGTAAAGGCAAGATTAAATTTGTTGACTATTTTTTTTTTTTTCAATTTTCACCTCTCAAGAATAACAAGAATTAAGCTATTTTTGACGCTTGTGAGAAATGGCTGATTGTATTCAATTTTCCAGTAGAAATTATGAATCTTGATGTTTGAATACAGGTGCAAATCTAGGGATAGGAACTGCGATTCTTCTTCTCCTCCATTCTCACTCCCTAGCCCTTTAGTATTGTTGCAATATTATACAGTCTACTTCCTACCTGGTCCTGTCAGGCATCCTTTTTCTTTGCAGCCAATCACTTTCAATGTGATTCTGCTGCGTGTAAATGAGACCAGTACTCCTTCACAAGTTGTCCAAAAAGTGAACCTTCTGTCTCCATTAACTTCTCTGGCTGATCATACTCGACTAGTTTTCCTGAAATAGAACAGAAACAGCTCATTAGTGCAGTTTGAGATGTCTCTACATGGAGCTATAGCTACACTAAATGAAATAACACAAAGCAGCATAGTCACAGATATGCAGAAGACACAAATCCATATCGAAGTGCATTTACATTCGAATTAAAGTGATGAAACGGTCACTTACCGTCCCCAATCGAAAGTACCATCGTGCAATCCATTACGGTTGGTATCCTGTGAGCTACTGTGATCACAGTGCAATCTGAAAATTCCGTCCGAATAGTCTTTTGCAAAATCAAGTCAGTTGCATTATCAATTGATGCTGTTGCTTCATCAAGCACCAGTATCCTACTTCTCCTCAAAAGGGCTCGGCCTAAGCAAAATAGTTGTCTCTGCCCCATGCTCCAATTTGATCCGTCTTCCACAACTGCAGCAGGTTGCTCATCATTTACTGACCATTACAATCAAAATAATGCAAATATAGTTTACTTTATACGTAAAAAAAAACGTACTTAGAGAATCTAGACCCTGCTCTTTCTCCTGAACGGCCTCTCGAAGCTGACACTTTCCAAGAACCTATGAAATTTGAAACAGAATTTTCAAGTTAGAAAAGCCTGCAGACAAAATAAATCCCTCATCCAGTGGCTTATTGGCAATTTTTACTAGATTTAGTGTGAAACCATTTGCAAAATTACCTCCCATATCTCCTGGTCAGTGTGTTGAGATAATGGGTCCAAATTGTATCTCACAGTCCCATTAAAGAGGGTAGGATCTTGAGGTATTATTCCAAGTCGTGACCTCAGATCATGAAGTCCAATCTTAGAGATGTCAATGTCATCTATGATAATCTTTCCTCCAGCTGGTTCCACCAGTCGAAATAGAGCACCAATAAGAGTTGTCTTCCCACTGCCGGTTCGACCAACAATACCGATCTTGTGCCCTCCTTCAAATGTGCAACTGATTCCTCGAAGAACTAGTGGTGCGTCAGGCCTATATCTAATCTGTTTGATATTAAACTTTTTCAGTCGTCTAGCCTTCATCAACTGCCTCGTTAAACATCAATACAACATAGGAATAAAACTTACCTGCAAATCACAAATATCCACTTTACCCACCAATGGCCAGTTGGATGGAGGACGGCTATCTTCTATCACCTCTGGGGCTTCACTTGGTACATGCGTGTATTGATTAAGCCTTTCAACAGAAATGATGTAATTTGCTAATGTGCACTGATATTGAATCGAAAACACCAGGGACATATTTAACGAAAGTCCATAAGAAAGTGTCATTCCAATAAATCCTGCAGCAATGGAAGTAAATATTTCTCTGAGTCAGGACTGGGAAGCTCGTAAATTATATGTTCAAGAACAGTTGGAGAAAGGTAAAGCATATATGCCCACCAGAGCTAAAAGATCCAGGAGGAAGTAAAACCATGCAGAGTGCTGCAGAGGCAAGAACAGTTGCACTCAATGTTTCAAGTCGTTGAATCAACCACTCATTTGCAGCAAAACTGTGGAAGAAAGGACTAGCATTTATGTCGATGAGGTTAAGGCTTTTTGCAAAGAAACGTTCTTCCTCCTCAAAGGCCCTTATTGTCATGGCTCCTGCTACAGATTCAGCTAGATGATTTGCTACTAAAGACTTGGTTGTGCCATTGATCCGCATCAATTCTTTAGCAGAGGCAAAGTAATATCTCTGTAGATAAGAATGAGATAATCTTCAAATCCACTTTATAAATGTAAAATCAGCTTTGATGGCAGTGGCCCTCAAAAGAAAGAGATCAGTACAGCAGACTGCCATTATCAGTCATACAATCAATTGATGCACTATATTTGGGCAATTCACCAGTTTAGAGTAACTCAGGTATACATGACTCCACTCCTATAAAAGTTAAACTAATACTACCGTAATTTTTTTATGTGTTACCCATGATATCAACATTACTAGTACATTTGAAAGTTCATGTGTCCCCTTTATAAGCAGAACACATATATGTGGCAATTCAAGTCATTAAAACTAATTACATGTGATGATTAGTTATGTTTCATTGCATTGGTAATTCATACATAGTCACAAGTAGTAAAAAAGTTGTTCTAAAAAAGAAGTTGGGAAGACATCCAATTGGTTTCAGAAGAATTACAAGCTCTAGGCAGTTTGGTCAACTTTGAAGCTCATTGTAAGAATTTTTTACCTTTTTTTTTCAAGCCTACAATCTACATTCCTACATGTGGGAATTTAAGTCATTAAATATCGAATTATTCTGATAAAAAAAATGATTAGTTATGTTGCATTCCATCGGCACTTATTACATAGTCACAAGCTGTATCCCATTGGTTTCATAAGAACTACAGGACAGGCAGTTTGGGTGAATTGCACAGCTCATTATAAGAATTTTTTTAGCCTTTTCTTAATCTTTTGAAGCCTTCAGTCTACTTTCCTAACTATGTATATTGAGCTGTTGCCAAGCTTCTCAACAATCAAAACGACTCCTATAAGTGAATAAGAATTACCTGTAAGCGAATAGCCAAATAAACCATTGGTATAGAGACAAACAGGGCTTGCCAGGTCACGACAGCCAGAACTCCCAGATTACTATAAGCATTTGTAGTTGCACCAACAGTAAAGATTAAACTGAACGGAACATCAAGATCGACAATGCTCAGATCTGATGCGACCTATGAGACAAAAAATAAACACAGGTCCAGATCAATTAGTTACACATCATCTCACGTGAAGAAAACAACATTTTCTCGGCGAGATGCTTACCCGACTCAGTATTCTTCCGAGAGGTGTGGAGTCATAGAAAGACATGGGTGCACGAAAAAGAGAATTTAGTAGCTGGGAAAATAACGACTTTGATGATTGAAGACCCAAAACAACTATAGAGATTGATCTACATAGCATGAAAAGCACTGAGATAACTCCGATACTCAGATAGACCGCAATTAAACGCAATGTGCTAACATGAGGATCATCAACATTTGCTGCCATCCAAGAGTTCTGTGATATCTGACCAACGACAAACAGCAGGTGACAGAAAGCTGCAAGGGAAAAGTACAAGTATCCTTTGTCTTGACTCAGATACTGAATATAAGGCTTAAATCCTGTGTCTCCCACTTCCTTTTCTTCCTGCTTAATCAGTTGATCTCCTTGAGAAGTTTTATGCTGCTTCTCTACATAACTCTTCTTGATCTCCCTAGTAGATGATCCTCGTCTTGGCAGAGCATTAACCTCGGTATGCCTTTCAGAACCAGCTGTTTCTTTGTGTGCGTTGACGAGGTCCTGAAAGGCTTGGCTCGAGGACAATAACTGATGATAAGGAGCTGCTTGTAGGATTTCTCCATCTGACATCAACTGTTTACAAAAGCAAGCTATCTCATGGCGATTCTTTTGTGAAAACTTTAACAAACAAATTTTACGGAAAACACATTGCATTAAAGTGAAATAGAAGTTTAATCAGCCATATAATTGAACCAACTAACTAATTATTTCCTAAAAGTGATTGAATCAAATGATGCTAACCATAACAGAGTCAAATGCTGGCAGGAAATCAACTTGATGCGTCACAAGCAAGACTGTTTTCTCTGAAAGTGCTCCACTGATGTATTCCTGCGAAAGAATTAAGTTAGATTTTTCTAGAAGGCCAATAACTAAGAAGTGGAGACAAGGCTTGCTGCTAGGAAAATTTGATTACATTAAATAAACTTGTCGCAGTGTGTGCATCCACAGCGCTGAATGGATCATCCAAGAGATATATATCTGCATTCTGATAGAGAGCACGGGCAAGTTGAATTCGCTGCTTTTGACCACCACTCAAATTGACGCCTCTTTCACCTATTTCAGTAAGATCACCATAAGGAAGCAACTCAAGGTCCTTCACCAAGCAGCATCGCTCAAGTGTGTCTTGGTATTGTTGCCTATCCATTTCAGACCCGAATAAAATGTTCTCTCGTATCGTTCCTGTCTGGATCCAAGCTGTTTGGGAAACATAGGCAATCCTCCCATAAACCTGAATCTGCAGGTCATAAAAACGGAAAAAAATTTCGGATTAGTAAAAGTTTCACTCATGAAATAGGGAATCGAATTACTTAAACTAAGGCCCACTTGTTAAAACTAAGAACTGGCAAGATATATTTAAGAGACAGTTCTCACAGGATTGAAATGCAGTTTGACAATACAGTTAATACACTTACATTTCCCTGTGTATGTGGAACTTCTCCAAGAATTGCTGCTAAAAGGGTTGACTTGCCAGAGCCAACTTCTCCGCATATGGCCACCTTTTCACCAGGCTTAGTTTCAAAATTAACATTTCTCAATGTAGGCTTTGAAGAATTCTCTTCCCATGAAAAATCGGCAGACTTGATTGAAACAGCAAGGTCTACACTCCCCATGTTGCGCTTGTGACGAACATTTTCACTCTGTAGCTCTGGTGCTTCGAGAAACTTCACAACACGCGCAAAAGCTACCTTTGCTTGAATAACCACTCCAATAACATCAGGGAGTGATCTGATTGGATCTTGAACAAGACGCAAAGTCGCCACAAAAGTGAAAACATTATTAGCATGAAGAGGAATTTTGAGGAAATAGCATGCCCCAAAGGTAGCAACAGAGACCAAAACAGGAGAAGACCAGAAGACAAAAGTGTTATATGATTTGCGCATTTGCACTGCTGACAACCATTTATACTCCACCTTTCTCAAACCTTCTATGGCATTTTTAAAATGAGTTTCCCAAGCATATAATTTCAATACCTTCATGTTAACCAGAGCCTCATTGCAAGCCTTCAATCTCTCATCTTGTGCCACCATAAGCTTAGACTGAAACTCATGCTGTAACTTTGCAAGTGGAGCATTGCATAGCACAGTAATTACTATAACAACTAAGGCAGCAAATGTTGCCAGTCCCACTGCACGGAAGAGAATTACAAGAGAGATGCAAAGCTGAAAGCTTGTTGTCCATGTCTGATGAAACCAGAAGGGAAACTCACCTATCCTATAAGCATCTACCGTAACATAGTTCATTATCTCACCACCCGAGTGCATCAACCTACCAACATTGGATAACCTCAGTTGCTTCTTATATATTGCAGCCGTGAGCAAAGACCTCACTTTCAAACCAATAAGCCTGCTCCTAAAATACCATTGCCTTTGTGATAAGGACTCTAAGCTCTTTGAAAAGAAGAGCGTCAAGGCCAGTACATAACCTTCATATTTAAAACCAGCTTTTCCTTCAGCAACCAAAATGAAGGCATTAAGAAGAAGAGGCCCAGCTGATACAGTAAGTATCTTTAGCATAGCGAAGAATCCAGAAATTAGAATGTCTTTCCAGTGGCAAAATACAATTGTCCACAAGAGCGATGGTTGAGATGATTCAGCTTGTTTTTGTTTGTCCACTTGCTCCAAAAACTCCATATAACAGCTCCCTGCTCGGTCTGCCTCTCTCAACTTCGGGATATCCTCATCCTCCAGAGTTTTCTCCTTGCCCTTTGTCATCAGTGGATTCAACCACCAAAACGACATTTTATTGAAGAATCCTGCTTTAGCAAATGGAGTAACTTTGTCAACAGAATCGGTTTTACCTACACCATTGGCCTCACCATTTAATGGTGCATATAGGTCACTTTCATCATTCCCTTCACGTTTATAAACCTTGTAAAAACATAATAATAACAATATTGCTCCGGGAAAGGATAGGGCATCCAAAGCTATCTTAAGCAGCATTCCTTCACCTAAAATGACACCGTATATGGACGAAGCACAGACAATACCAGCAAACAAGGAAGCAAAAATGGACAATAGCCGCAATGCCGTTCTTTGAAGATGCTTCCCTCGAAGGCTTATGGTTAAACCCACCAAAAGCCATGTAAATCCCTGAAACAACACAACTGACCAACTTTTCAATGGTAAGGCGGTCTGGTTTTTCCTCAACTTCTCTTCCAAAATCCATATGCCCAAGCACAAGTACACCAATCCAATACAGCCATTGATTATAGCAGAAACTATCTGCAGACTTGAATAGCCACGACATCGAGGTCGGATTTGATCTATTTTTGATGATGAAGATTTTTGTATGAAAGTGAATAAGAGCATGATTAGAAGCAAAACATTGAGACAAAATATCAACGCCTGATTGATACATGAAGTTGGTTGAAAGACCAAGCTAGAATCGAATGGCTTTCCGCCAGCATCTGAATTGCCAGATTCCCCACAAAACACCACCCTCAAGTTTTCCATTATCTTTCCTTTTCCTACGCACTTTTCAACTCCTGCATTGGCATACAAGGGACAAAAATTGGTCTTTGTTATAAAAACGCATCTATTAATCAAGTCTTTAAAATCATCTGACAATATATGTTGTCCATTATCAGTAATAATTTAATTAAAATAAGAAAAGAAGAAGAAGAAGCATTTTACACACACCCCACAATGATAAAAGATGTCATCCTTCGCGAAGAACTAAGAAAATTATGCAAATACAGAAGATTAAAGAAAATGTGATCATAAAAAGCAAGAAAGGAAAGGTAGAAAAGTAATATTTCTTTGTCTGCTAAATGTAAAAGAATTGTATAAAGGAAATGAAAAGTTGATAAGAGTTACCTTATTAATTGGCTACAATTTGAATCCTCAACGACTAGCATACATAATCTGTACCTTCCTACAAAAAGATAACAACTTCATCATTAGTTCATAAGCAAGTCTTTTAAAAACTCAATCAAGAAGTCTACGTTTAATTATTATGCAGATAAAGTGGTGTTTCTTAAAAAACTAATAAAAAAACAATGTGAGATCCTCAGAAATATTTAACAAAGAAATCTTGCTGAAGTTATCATAAACATTGAACATTATCTTCATAGTCGAAAGAATTAAATTAAATTAAAGAAAACCAAGATTGCCAAACTCAAACTAAATTAACCGATCTTGACTTTTTAAAAAAGAAGAAGAAGAAGAAGAAAGATTTCAGGTTGCATTCATTCAAAAAACCAACAGTAGTATGGTGCACCAGGATAACATTTTAACAAACACTAACCTGAAAATTGCACCAAACCCGAAATTTTGTAAGCCAAAAAAAGGGAAAAAAAAGACCATTTTTGTGTCAGCCAATGAACTGCTTGTATACAAGAATTAACGTTGCATTAGAGGTTCTGCTGAAAATCATACCGATGTTCGATAAAATAATTAAAATTAGCTAATACAAATGGATGGGGTGAGTTTCATCCATTCTACTTCCCCTCCGCCGTCGCTATCAGATTAGGATTCATGTCTTCCAAGAGACAAAATGCCCCTATGCTTCTATATGTTTTTGTCCTTTGTCTTCTTTGATTCAATTATTGGGAGACCTCAACTATGTCTATAAGTTTTCTTTTTCTTTTTATTATTTTATGCAATAAAGCAACGCCATTTTGAAGAGAATCTGATATCGTTGTGTTTTAGATAAAAAGATCTCTTTCAGAAATTTCTAATACCTTGATGGTGACATCGATAAAATTAGTTGTTTTCTTACAAAATTGAGAATCAAGTAATGAGTAGCGAGGAAAAAAAAATTCAGAGATTGTTACCTACCTCAGTAGCAACTGTAAAGTGATATAACATGTCATAAAATCTTGGTGCTGATTAAGAACAGCAGCCCTAGTAGTAGTCATCTAATATACAGCAGCCCTAGTAGTAGTCATCTAATATACAGCAGCCTTAGTCATCTAATATATATGTGTGTGTGCTATATACGAATTTTTTTGGTCAAAATTCCCACAAGCTGTTAAAAACACAGTTTTTTTTTTTAAAAAAAAAAACCAAGTTGAACTATGAGTGGTTATGAATCAACTATGATTGATTGTAAACTATTTCATTCATTGACTTCTTTTTGAAATTCCACAGCATATGATCTAATAGTTTGTGTTTGTTTTGATGCTATTCAATGAAAAAGGTTATTCCTCTTTCTCAATTTTTCATCTTTATCCTAAGCTAAAGTTACTTAGTGGCGCTATGAAACACACAAGCTAAAGTTAAGGTCATTCCTCTCAACTTTTTTGCTTGACCCAACAAAAAAAAAAAAAATGGTTATCAATCAACTATAATTAACTGTGAACTATTTCATTTAATGATTTTTTTAAGAAAAAAACAAAAAAGACCAAGTCGAATTATAATAATAGAATTTTGGTCAAAAAAATACCTTCATAATATAATTAACATAAATTTGATTTGTATATTTTATGTTTAATATTAAAACAACGTGTTAATATGATTAAAAAATATATATATTTTTTTTTTTTCAATAAGCCTATATAAAAGCACCTCTCAACTTTTATACTTTAACAAATATAAAATTCCACAGCATATGTATGTTGGGCAGCACATGATCTAATAGTTTATGTTTGTTTTGATGCTATTAAGTGAAAAAGGTTATTCCTCTTTCCCAATCTTTCATCTTTACCCTAAGCTAAAGTTACTTAGTGCTAAGTCGAATAATTTTACTTCATAAATTAGCTAGATTTTTTTTGTATGATTTAGCATGTGGGACCATCAAATTGATTATTCATCCCACAACATATATAAAATTTTTATTTTTCCTTTCTGGATTTCTTTTCATACGCTCCAAATCCCAAAAAGGAAACAAGAAAGAAAAAAACACGAGTGAAGTAATCAAATCATTTCTCATCCACATCGATAAAATTAGACATACCCTAGTCTTCCACAATAATGGTGACGTAGGAACCTTCATGTCGCTTATCATATTCACGAGAGAATGAAATTATTTTAATTTTTTTGGTTGACTTTCTATTATGATAGCAATTCAAGCTTTTCTTTTTCTTTTTCTTTTGACGCCTACACTGTGTTTGGTTTACGAAAGAAAAGGAAATCCATAAACATACGTATCTTGTTGTCATCTTCTTTTCATTTTTTTTTTTCAAATCAGTGGTTGTGGTAGATCCACAATTTTTTTGCTTACACAAACTTCCTGCTATAAATTTTTTCCAATGGCTTTTTTTTAAAAAAAATTATTGTTGGGTTACAAAAGGACGAATATATAATTATTTGTATGAAATTTTTTCTATTTTTCTGATTTTTTTAATGTAATATTTTTATTTTTAGTTTTAAATTTTACTTAATGTAGCTTTTTGGATTGTTTTTCAGGTAATTTTTTTTTTATCAAAAACTAATAATGACATAAAATTTTATATGACATGACGTGTGAGATAAATTTACCAAATAAAAAAAATCTTTTTTTTCGAAAAACTAAACTTTAAATTTCCATTCACCCACTTCCTAATAGATCAATGAAAGCTGTATACATTTTTTAATGTGATATTTTTATTTTTATTTTTAAATTTTACTTGATGTAGTTTTTTTATTTTTTTATCAAAAACTAATAATGACATAAAAAAATTATCCGACACGACGTGTAATATAAATTTACTGAGTAAAAAAACAAAAATATCAAAAAAGGAAACTTTAAATTTCCGTTGACCCACTTCCCGATGGATCAATGAAAGCTACATGCATTTTTCTAATGTGATATTTTTATTTTTATTATTTTTCGACCAATTTTTATCAAAACTTAATAATGACATAAATATTTTATATGACATGATGAGTAAAATAAATTTATCAAATAAAAAAAACAAAAATATAGGAAAACGAAACCTTAAATTTCCATTCACCCGCTTCCGGATGGACCAATGAAAGCTACATGCATTATCTCTACATGGATTCCTCTAAAATGTCACGCATATGGGCAACTAAGCTTTCAACATTAAATATTTTTTCACAAAAAAGGCTAAATTTGTAGATACCAAATTTATAGATATAAAAATATTAAAAAATAATATAAATTATATCCACTTATCTGCATATTTTATTTAATAATTTAACTTTTTATGTTATAATAATATTTTAATATGAAATTAAAATTTTAATGATAAAATGATCACAATTTCAAATTAAAAAAATTTACACTTATAAATATATTAAAAAATAATATAAATTATATTTTAAAATTTGGTTTAATAGAACCGAGATTCGTCACGCTGGTAAAATGATGAAGTAAACACCCACTTACGCCAGATAAAAAGACCCCAGAACTTTCATCATCAACTCCACTTCACTAAAGTGCTCGTTTTTGAAAACAACCTAACCTCGTATGGCACAATCCAGACAAAAGGTAACTTTCACCATCCTCGTTTTTGAAAGTGTAGCAATAGTTTGTTAAAGATTAAGACAAGAGGGGAAAATGAGACAGAGCACTCACTAATTTCCAACTTTAGCACGATTTCTTGAAGCTTTAGAGAGCCAGGGACAAGAAGCTTTATCATCTTAATTTAGATTTATACCGAATTGCTGAATTCCCTAAAATCCACTTTTCCACCATCTCAGATCTATATGTTCTTCGAACAAAAGGCCTCGAATTTATAATTTAGCCTTCAACAAAATCCTTAGTTGGAAAATATAGGAGCTACCAACAAACCATTGATTACTCTAAATAACAAACAGTGCAGAAATTCCTTTGACAAGGCGATGCTGTGCAGACAGATTTTTTTTTTTTTTTTTTGCAACATCAGAGAGATTGTGGTAGCTTCAATTAGTTGATGGTGATGGTGATGGATCTCAAATCTTTGGTAGTTTGAACTGGTGATGATTGTGCTAGTTTGGCGGTGGTTTTGTCGTTGAAGATGTGGTTTTTTTTTCCCCTAATAGTGTGATTTTTAAGGAAAAAGTTGGTATATCAAGGGTGTTGAATGTTGGCGGTTGTTGAAAATTTGAGAAATGATCAGGGGTAGTTTGGTACTTTTTTTTTCATGTTTTGCCATATGCTAAAAATTTGTCTAAAGGATCGTGTCACTTAAAATTTTTTTTTATGCCAAATGTCAGTTTTAATTGGAAAAATTAATTGAAAAGATTACATTACAAAAATTAAAGAATAAAAGAATGTAATATGTCAATATATATATATATTAAGGGTGTTGAATGCTGGCGGTTGTTGAAAATTTGAGAGGTGATCCAGAATAGTTTCGTAATTTTTCTTTTCTTTTCTTTTTCCATCTTTTGATATGTGCCAAAATTTGTTGGAAATCTTGTGTTCCATAAATTTTTTTATGCCACATGTTAGTTTTAATTAAAAAATTGATTGAAAAAAGTATATTAAAAAAATATATAATAGAAGAGCATAATAATAAAAAAAGAATATATAAATTACAATAAGAAAATCGGAAAAATAAAGTAACGTTTCATTCGATTGATCC